AGCCTCTTCTATCCTCAGTGTCTTCATATGCTAAATGTGGAGAGTAATTCTACTAGTGCCTATTTCATAGGGCTTTGTAAGAATTAAATAACATAACCCTTTAAAGTGTGTGACACAGTTCATGGCACATAGTAAATGCTGAATAATTGTTAGCTATTCCCAACTGATTAGCTCTCACATCCGGTAAGTGGCAGTTAGGGGATTATACTACCTCAAAAACCTTTTGCTGAACAAGGTTTTGAATCTTTATTCCTTGGTGAAAAAGTATGATGCAGCCTCAGTTAAGCCACCTATAAGTGAGTAAATGAACGATAAAAGAAAGAAAGCTATAGAAGATGTGAAATAGGTTTAGATAAGTTTTTGATAAGTGACTAAAGGAACTTCATTATTCTAATAAATTGTTCAATTACAAAAATAATTATTCATTCAGGTAATTATTGAGCACATACTGTATGTCAGACTGGACACCAGGGATATGCTAATTTTCAAATGAAGAAAATGTACATTTTAATTATTTTAAAGATCACTTATATAGAGAGCATGGTAATTGAGCAGATTCATTGAAGGAAGATTATGAGGAAATGTACAAAAATTGTTACAGGAGAAATTCTGTCCAATTGCAATAAAGATATTGATTGTCTGGCTAGGTAGATACAACTGGTCACTCAGAGAAGATTGTGGCTTCACCTCCCTGATAGTTCAGAATTCTCTCAACATGGATGTGGCCTGCTAGGGAGCAGGGAGGGTGTGGATAATTGAAATCCCGAAAGGAATCCGAATCTTTATTTTAGTTCTAGTCCCCACCAATCTTGATACAAGTCACACAACTGGCTGACTTCTGCTGTGCTTCCTGTCCTTCCAGGCCTGCTTTCTTCCTCGTTCCTCACCTCAGGAACTGCAGGGAGGAACCCAGACCTCCAGAGTACACCTCCCGCGGTAGGACCATCTGCCCAGGAGACCTTGGCTCCTGTAGGGGGGCCGAGTCACCTGCCTTCACCCGTCTCGGTGTCTCTCTTCTCTCTGCCTGTAGTAGAGAGAAGCCTCTGCAGTAGGGGCTGGGTACATGGAAGATGTTCCCAAGTCAAACATATACCATATAAGCTCTTTGAGGAAGTTTATTGATAAATCAACAATTCAACTTTTATCAGTAAGAGTCTGAGAAACTTAAGATAGTTTGGTATCCTCACTCTTGGTCAAAGTGAAGGAAGGAACACAGGGCACCGAAACTTCCTAATGACACTAGTGGAAGCAGTGGGTGCTGGATGTCAGGGTTACCTTTAACAGCTCCAGCCCCCACCTTGCTGGGTTTCTTAGGATAGTAACAGTGCCTGGCATTTGCAAAATGAAACTTCCTAATGACACTAGTGGAAGCAGTGGGTGCTGGATGTCAGGGTTACCTTTAATAGCTCCAGCCCCCACCTTGCTGGGTTTCTTAGGATAGTAACAGTGCCTGGCATTTGCAAAATTCTTCTCTGTCATTTCTCAAAGTTTTATTTTATGTTCAGTGCTCTAGTAATTCAGTGAGGTAATGGGTATGTCATATAATATTATCCTCATTTTATGGAGGAGGACACTGAGAACAGAGAAGTCAAATAACTGGGCCCAGGTGACACAGGCAGCAATAGATACAGGTGGGGCCAAAAGCGAAGTGTTCTAATTCAAGTCCAGGACCCTTCCCCTCTCCCGCAGCACTATTCATACAATGATGCACGTGAAATGTATGTTGTGAAAAAGGATGGCTCTATAAAAACAGAAGGTGGCATAACCATCAAAAGATTATTTGTTGCTCATAATAATTTTATAATTGCTGTCTAAATCGGTGGTGCTACGATCTCAAGAAGAGCTTCATGTCCGTGGAGCTTGTCTTATTGCTACCAAAACCTGAAGCCGTTTTAATGTAGATACTTACCTTTGGGACTTATTTTGCTGGAGCCTGCAGCCTTCAACGCTTTCTTCTCTTTCCTCAAACACAGGTCCCGCAGCTGGACATGGAGAACCAGCGTCCATCCACTCTGTCATTCCCCAGTGTTCCACAGGAAGAAACCCCACGGCAGGCCGCTGCTGGACTCCCCCGAGAAACGCTGTCCCAGTCCCGCGTTCTTCCCCCCAAAGAAGTTCCCTCTTTGTCTCCCACCATTGCCCGGCAAGGCTCCCTGCCCCAAGCTCCCAGTGCTCCCAAACAAGAGACTTCTGGCCGGATGCCGCGTGCTCTGCCGAGGGCACCTTCACTCCTGTTTCCTGCCACTTCCGAGCAAGAGACTCATCTCCAGGGCCCCCTGGCCTCCCAGGACGAGACCCAGTATCCACCCCCAGCTGCTGCTGAACAGGAAGTCTCCCTTCTCTCCCACTCCACCCACCAGCAAGAAGCCCCACTCCACTCCCCTGAAGTTCCCGAGAAAGACCCCTTGGCCCTTTCCCCCACAGTTTCCGAGAGTGACATGGACCCCCTGCTCCAGAGTCCAGTTTCCCAAAAGGACACCCCCTTCCAGATCTCTTCTGCAGCCCAGAAGGAACAGCCCCTCCCCACAGGAGAAATCACCCGCTTGGCCATGTGGGCTGCCGTCCAGGCGGTGGAGAGGAAACTGGAGGCCCAGGCCATGAGGCTACTGACCCTGGAGGGCAGGACAGGGACAAATGAAAAAAAGATAGCTGACTGCGAGAAGACGGCTGTGGAGTTCGCTAACCATCTGGAGAGCAAGTGGGTCGTGCTGGGGACCCTGCTGCAGGAGTACGGGCTGCTGCAGAGGCGGCTGGAGAACATGGAGAACCTGCTGAAAAACAGAAATTTCTGGATCCTGCGGCTGCCCCCTGGCAGCAATGGAGAAGTTCCCAAGGTAAACCATTCCCAACTGGGGCTTCCCAAAGAAGGGATCTGAACTGGAAGGTGGCTTAGGAATTTAGTTTAATGTGAAAGAAAGTGAAAGCGATGGTTGAGAAAGAAAAAATACAATTCCTAGCTGCCAGTATCACTTCACTAAGGACAGGATGCACAAAAATCAAATTACTTCTGTTGACGGAAGCTTAGGTCAGTACAGAAATGTCCAAGGGATCAGGGATTGTCGATGTAGAAAGGTTCAGTGGCGTCATCAATGATGTCAGGACAATAAGGCAAAGTGAAGGCCGGGTGGGAGAGCTGCGGGGAGCTTCAGTCCGTTACTGGTGAGTGTTACTAGTGGGCCACCGTCGGAGTGGAGGGAGGGAAAACTTGGATTAAATGTTACAAGGATCTGTCCTGCCCAATGTTTTTATCAGTTCACTTATAAATCCTGTTCATGCAAGTAGAACTGATTTCAAGAGGTATCCTTAAACTGGAGAACAGGAGCTGGCTAGTTGGTTCAGTTGGTTAGAGCACAGCCTTGTTAACACCAAGGTCAAAGCTCCAGATCCCTGTACCAGCCAGCTGCCAAAAAAAAAAAAAACCTAGAGAACAGTTAGGTTTTAGTATTATTTTCCAGAAGGTTCTGAGAGCTCAAATGTGACTGATTTTCTTTCTATCCTGTGCTGCTTCCTCTTTTCACAGCCTTATGTTAGGAGAAGACAGACTATATTCTCCAGGCCAGCACTTCTCAAATTTTATTATGCACATGAATCACCTGGGGATCTTATTAAAGCAGAATCTGATTTAGTAGGTTTAGGGTGGGGCCTGGGAGTCCGCATTTGTAGCAAGTACCCTGGTGGTGCCCTGTTTCTAGTCCTTAGACCATGCTTTAGAGCCTCAAGAATTATCTTCAGCGAGAGGAAAAGGATCAGACAAGCCCAGTCCCTCCTCTCTGGGGCCAGCATAGTGGTCAAAGCCTGGCCAGACTTCCAGAGAGGTCCTAAGTGGATCCTCAGAGCGTTTGGGCCTTTCCCCCTCCAGTGCTGAGGAGAAGGTGTCGGGGCTGGGGCCAGGGGGCTTGAGCCTTGGGATTTGACAGCTGTGGGCCTGTGACTGCTTTCTAGTTTGTCCGAGCTGAGCTTGTTGTGTGTTTTCAGGTCCCTGTCACATTCGATGACGTCGCCGTCCATTTCTCAGAGCAGGAATGGGGAAACCTGTCTGAGTGGCAGAAGGAGCTCTACAAGAATGTGATGAGGGGCAACTATGAGTCTCTGGTTTCCATGGGTAAGGAGAAGGCGTTACTCACCAGGGTGTCGTGACATCAGCTGGAGGTTCCTCCAGAGCCTTGGGGAGTTCTGAGCCCCAGTTATGCCAGTACTTGGAAACAAGGAAAACGGAATTTTAAGAGCACAAAAAATGAAAACACCCTCATGTACCCACATACCTCAGAGCAACACAGGTTGGAGCAGCTTGTAAATGGAGATACCGTTCTACTGAGAACCACTGGGGCGAGGGGGTAGAGACCCAGATGTTGGTGGTCTCGCATCTTCATAGTATTTGACCCATTGGATCCCCCCTTTTTTAAAAAAAAAAATTAGTTTGTCCAGCCAGCTATTATTAAAGAAGCAAAAAAGAATGGAAGAAAACAAATGTACTGAGTGCCTCCTGTGCACCAGCTGAACACAGGTACTTACAAGAATCCCATCAGGCAGTCCTCACTGCTGTGCCGTGAGGAAGCTAGCACAGGTGTTGGCACTCCTCTTCTATTATTCAGTCATTTATTGAGGGCTTACGTGCCCCAGGTCGTCGTCCCCATCATGTAGATCAAGGAGATTAAATGCTTGCCCTAGGTCCCCCTTCAGGGAGTCACAGTTTCACTGAGATCTGTCTTACCCCTGAAGTCTGTGCATTCTTTTTCTTTTCTTTTTAAATACATACAGACCTATGAAAATTCAACAATTTTGATTTGTATAATAAAGAGCAGCCCCTACCCACTCACCAGTACCACTCCCCAGAGGTAACCACCACGAACCCAAACACAAGCACCATGCATACCCTGGTGCACATGCAGTTTGGGGTTTGCAGATGGGACCACTGGCTTATTTTAGTTAGTTGTGGGGCATAGAAAGCTTTCTCTGTTAGTGTACGTGGGCCTCCTTGGAAAGGCAGTGCAATATTCCAGGTGAACTGTTGGGCTTTTGACCTTTCTGCTGTTGATGAACAGTAGGTTGATTCTGTTTTTCTCTTGAGTACAAAGTGTTGGGATAAACATATCTGTATATTTGTGCACTTATGTGAATGTTTCAGTAGTACAGATTCTAAGTGAGGTTGCCGAGTAAAGAGGATGGATATTCACAGTTTTATGGCTGTCACCATGATGTCTCCAGAAGGCTGAGCCAGTTTATGTTTCTGTAGCAGTGCATGGAAACGCCAGTTCTCCATACCCTGGCCCTAGCTAATGTTCTTCTATTTTAAATATTTGTCTTTCTGATAGGTAAAAATGACACCTTATTATTTTAATGTGTATTTCTTTGATGATTAGTGAGCTTGCCCATCTTTTTGTATATTTACTGGCCATTTGTGTTTCTTCTGTGAATTACCTATTCATGTCTTTGCCTTTTTATATTTTATGAATTGTAGAGGATTTTTTAATATATAATATGGATATTAACCCATTGCTATGTATGTGTGAGACAGATAGGCATATGTGTGTGTATGTAATATTTCTTCCAAGTTTTTTCATGTTTTAACTTTATTTCCAAAGAATTTTAAACTTTTTTATGTGTGACAAAATCTGTCAGTATTTTGTTTTATGGCGTTTAGATTTAATCTGGATTAGTTTTTTACTTTAAAAAATTTCAAATATCTTTTGCCTTTGTTATGAAAAACCTGAGCAGACATCAGTCACCTGTAGGCAACATTAGCTACACACACACACACACACACACACACACACACACACACACAGCCCAAAGGAAAAGGACTGGATACTTGACCATTTCTTTTCCAACATTGCTGGTCCCTAGTTGAGGAGCTCCTCCTAGCATCACTCCCACAGCTAATACCTTTAAAGGAAACATTGCTGGTCCCTAGTTGAGGAGCTCCTCCTAGCATCACTCCCACAGCTAATACCTTTAACAGCATCCAGTGTATTCCATAGTACATCTTGTTTCCTTCCTTCTGCACAGACTATGCAATTTCCAAACCAGACCTCATGTCACAAATGGAGCGTGGGGAGAGGCCAACCATGCAGGAGCAGGAAGACTCTGAGGAGGGCGAGACGCCTACAGATCCCAGTGCTGGTGAGTGGCTAATGGGCTGCCTGGAGCTCTGCATTCTAGATCTTCCACTACTCAGGAGACCTCTGGGGCATCACAATCCAGGGTAGACTCTGAGGAGTTACATTAGCAAGCTGTCAGCAGAAAGGAGGCCAACAGGGGCTGGGACATACTTGGGGCCTCTGTGATTGCCAGTGGCCCAAGTTGGCGATAAATAGGAATGCCATTGGGTTCATTGTCTTAGGGATTTTTTTGACATGCCCAAGTGTCACCTCACTCTTTGCAGGAAGCGAAGCAACTCAAAGAAAGGCAGTCACTTGTCAGGGTACTAGTGCTCATACCCCCCGGAGCTTCCCAGAGAAGGACCACGTCCCTGAGTCCTCCTGCTGGTCACTAGAAGATAAGGGGCAGATGTGGACTTGACTGGAAACATCCCACAGTGCCTGACTCCAGCATAGTAGTGTCTAGATGGGGTGGTTAGATGGAGTCAGCAGACATGCACCAGATGCAACTGAGCAGAGGCCAGGTGGCTGCAGAGCAGACTTATTTGCATCCAGCTCCTATTTACAGTAGCGGCATTTCAGTTGCTCCATCTCTTTGTAGTCTCAGTTTCTTCATCTGTAAAATAGGACCAGTCCTAATATCTAGCCCTAGGGCCTGGTGTGGTGATTGGCATGTAGCAGTGGCTCAGTAAACGCCAGCTGTTGGTATGTCTGGTATGTCCTCCATGGCTGGATCAGCAGGCTGCACACTTATGCTCGTGCTTTGATGTTGCATAGTTAGTTTTTGGAGCCCCAGCTTTGGAATTGCCTTTGGACTTGTACCTTGATGGTCTTCAGTGGAAGCAGATCTTTGTCCCTTGCAGGCAGATGTGATGTGTGAGAATAGCTGAACCTCACTGGTGATCATGTCTTTTGGAAAATGAGGATGATCAGCTGGAGAGCTCAGTTTGGGGCTAACAGCCAGGTCTTGTTATGAGTTAATATCATTGATTTTGGGGCCTATAAACTGGCTCCAAGGAGATGTTCTAGAAACATTGAGTATTGTCAGCCCATGTACCTTATGGGAGAGACAGAACCCTGTAAAAATATAAGTGCTGGCATGTCTCAGAGAAATTCAGTGTTGTTACTTTCTAGGAATTTGCCTAGAGATTTAAATCGAGAGGAGAGGCTGATCCTGAACTCATTCTGGCAGACCAAAAAGATGGATTTAAAAGTAGATGAGGGTGAGGGGCAGAGGACAGTGTGGCACATAACAAGGTGATCTTTTGGCTGGAGGAAAATCAGTCTGTACCTTAAAGGTTTGAGTGGCCACATCCAAAAACATGGGTCAAGTAGAAATAGAGAGATTTGAGGTAGAAGAAATAAGGAAGAAGGCTTGGGAAGTAAAGAATGAGAATTCGGGAGAGGTATTTGTGGTAAAAATCCTATTTTACAGTCTGATGTGCCAGTGGGATTTTGTGGTTCAGGTGCTGCTCCTGTAGCATTTTCATAGAAGGGTGGGAGGAGAGAACATCAATCCCCTTTCTCCGTCCGCTTTTTACATCCTTGTCACAGACAGGCCCCCCACAGGATACGGCCAGAATCGAAAAGCAAATAACCTCAACCCACTCTGCCCCAAGCTGGGTTTGTTTTGGCACACACCCATCCACAGCCTGAGCTGCTGCTGGGAAGTGGCAGCCTCACGGAGCCTTCCTTGTATGGCTGAAATGTGCCATGTGTTCCACGAGCCATCTTCAGCCCCTTGGAGCCTGCAGTGGGAGGGAGGACAGGGGAGGACATAGAAACCACTGCTCCATAGAGCAGGCCTTCAGTTCAGCCTCTGTGCTAAATCAAGGGCCCTGCAGTAGCAGGTGGTTCTGTGATGCTGATACACTGCAAGTATCAGAGCCCCAGACACACCAGTGGTTATCTGTGCATTCATGCATCTTCTCCCTGAGCAGGATGGCAGCAAAGCCAGCCCTGGGCTAGACCCACAGGTATGATACCACGGGGGAAAAGTCTAGAAAATCAGGAATTTTCATAGTTCTAAATGTACCAAACAGGACCATTTTATGAACTAAGTAAATTCATTTAATAAACTATTACTTAATGGTTTCTATCCCTGAGCACAAAGATCTAAAGATGATTCAGTTATCAACCCTGCTCTCAAAATACTCATTACAGGAGCTCTTATTCATCACTCTGTAAAAGTGGACAGGGAGGCCTGGAGAAGCTGGGAACCATCTTTACCTAACAAATTAGCAAGAGTGGAGCAAACCAGAAGCATGACTGACACCTGCGTCCCCATACATTGCTACTCAAGAGTGGACAGTAGTCTTTTTAGAAAGCAATTTGATGTTTTCTAGTCTTAAAATATGTTTTAAATATCTAAAATGTTCATACATTTGACCTAATAATTTTCTTCCTTTGAGTCAGTAGCATTAAAAAAAATCCAAAGTATGGATTAAGATACATTACATTATGTACAAGTATATATCACATTCTGATAGACTATTACACAGCCACTAAAATCATACGTTTAAAGAGTTTTGATATTGGGGCCGGCCCGGTGGCGCACTGCTACAGTGCGCCGCTTGGGATGGTCATGTGCACGGTCTATCTTGACAGTGGACTAGAAAGGGCTGAGTGGTGGGTGGATGTTGAATGCGAGGGAGAGGCACGGCGCAAGGATGACACCCAGGCCTCGGCATAAGGAACAGGGAAGATGGGGACACCGGTGAGGCAAAGGCCTGGAGAAACGGCAACAAGAATTCAATTTTCAACATATCAGTTGTGAGATCCTTGTGTGGCATTAAGGAGAAAGTGTTGAGAAAGCAGCTGAAGTTCAGAAGCAGGTCTGAGGCAGAGACATTTGGTATTGGTGCATTTGGACCTGTGGGCGTTGGTAACATAGTCTGGGTTAGTTTACTCGGTGTGTACAGGGAGAAGAGGCGGGAGCGCCAGCCATGCCCTGCAGAGGCCTGACTTTCGGAGCAGATTTGGGGATGTGGAGTCAAGTATATTGGTCAAGGTGGGGCCCAGGTGTTAGTATTTTTTAGAATGCTTCCAAGGTGATTCTCACATGCAGCCAGGGTTGAAAACCACTATTATAGGATTTGGAAAAAACAGAAATCAAAGGAATCAGAGGAAACAGAAAGGGTGGCCAGAAAGGTTGCAGGAGAATTAGCATAGTGCCTTACTGGGTATTTCAAGAGAAGAGTGTTTCCAGAAGGAGGCAGTGTCGTCAACAATGTTGAATTCTGCTGTGTGGTTTAGTAACAGGAAGACTGAAAAGTGTCCTTTGGATTTGCAAACTGAAAATCATAGTGACCTTAGCAAGAGAAATGTAGGTGGCTAGTGGAGGTGGAAGCTGGATTCGAGTGGGAGGTGAGGAAGTCAAGACAGCACCTATCAAGAAGCTTAGCAGTGAGTGGGGAGTGGAAATAAGTGGCAGTAGCAAGGTTGGGGGGTGTTTCTTGTTTGCTTAAGGTGGAGATCGCTAAAGCCTGTTTGAAATGTTGATGGGAATGATCCGGTTGATAGGTTAAGGATGTAGAGGTAGGAAATGTCAATACAAGGGTACTTCAAAAAGTTCATGGAAGTATTTGCATTATCTTTTAATTCTATTTTTCCATGAACTTTTCAGAGTACCCTTGTATAATATGAAGTCAACAATGTAAACAAAAGATAGGGAAAAAACTGGATGGAAACATACCAAAATCATATTTCTCTATGATTTTGTAAAATTTTCTAATGTGAGCATATATTAACTCTTATCCAGTTTAAAAAGAAAATTTAAACAATGCGTGGTCAACTTTGAGTTAAAGATGGCAGATTGAACGTGTGTTTACTCCTACTTCCCCCAACCCTTCTAAAATAGAAGGAAAGGGACTTTTTAAAAGAATGAACAAAGGAACAACAGCAACACAATTTTGGAATCCTGAAGGTGGGTGGAGAGATGATTGCTGATGTAGAAAGCTGAATCTGAAATTGGTTTTGGGGAAAGCCGAGAAGAAACCCAGGTTGCACCCCTCATCCTTGCTCAGTGCTCAGGAGTTAGCAGTACCAGAGGCTCAAGTATTGCTGGAAATGGGAGTAAAGGTGAAGCTAGAGACAGAGTATTGGTTGAACTTTTAAAGAAGCAATTAAAGCTGGCCAGTTAGCTCAGTTGGCTAGCGCATGGTGCTGATAGCATCAGGGTCCAGGGTTCATCCCTGTACCAGCCATCAGAAAAAAAAGAAGAGGAAATTAAACACTCTCCTCTCCCCCCATTTTCCTCTTCCAGTCCTACATCTGGCATATGCCTCTCCCCAGCCCTGGTATGTGACTAAGGCTTATTCCCTGGAGACGGTGACAAAGAGGATCTCTGGAGATGGGCATCAGGCACAGTTGAGGATGGGCTACCGTACTGAACATGGGAATAAGTGAGATTTGACGTACACATATTGAGATCTCCAACATTATTTCCTAACCTGGCTCCCAAAATGATGCTGACATCTAGCATTAAACCCTTGAGGCAGGATCATAGAAGAGGTTTATCTGGAGACTTTTGGGTCCAGCTCCAGAGGTTTCCCAGTAAAATGTCCTGGCCAGAGCACCCTATGAGGAGACCCCTGGTTAGCAAGCCCCCCCAAATGCACCAAACCCTTTTGAGTGTTCTGCTTTTAAATCTATATGGACAACCAAGACATTTGGGAAAAGCCTCTAATATGCATAGACTAATAAATAGAGAAATAAAACCAGAAGAAATATATTTAGAGGAACAGAGACTATGTTGAGAGGAAAAAGTATATGTATAAATACTTATGAAAAATCCTTAGAAGACGTGAATGCATCCATGACAAATGTATGATTATTTTTTTTAAAAAAAAGAGTAGAAAGGAACTCTCAAATTAAAAGTATAATAATACAAAATGAAAACTCGGTAGAAAAAAAATGAATTTGGGAAAGAATAAGAAAACCAAAGGATGCAAGGCCAACATCTAGATAATAGGAACACCAGAAAAAAAGAGGAGTGAAAACAGAGGTGGGGATTATCAATGA